AGTTGTTATTAAACTTGTCCCGGAGCCAAGGGTTTTTTCCATGGGATTGGACGGTTTGGCAATTTATCACGTTTGATTGCAAGCGGGTTTGCAGAAATCGGATAGTTGCATGACACATCATGAGACATACCAATGGAAGATTGGAAGATTGATGGAAGATTGGAACATGTTGGAACTGGGAGATTCTCAATGGGCCAACATGTAAGACCCAGGCCCTTGGGACCACAGAGCTTGGCTCAAGAATTTTGGCCACTGGACGACTTGGCCTCGCGTGGCCGCATGGCCTCTAAGTGCAACAAAATCCGCGAAGCCTCAGAGGCCTTCAAGCACGCTCAAGAGAGGAGGTGCGAAGGCTGGCTCACAGACAAAAATCTCTGTGATGCCGTGGCTGTCGTAGGCCCTGAAGGGTACCGTGTGCCATTCCTTCGGGCACCCTTGGCCAGCCTCTCCATGCCGCTGAAGGCTGCATTGTATGGTGAATTTCAGGAAGGCCAAACGCATGAACTTACCTTGAAAGATGTGGCTGTTGACGCCTTCGATGTCATGATCCGGACTGCATACAATTTGGAGCCCAAGCTTACTCCTGTGAGGGCCCTACGCGCATTTGTAGCTGCGAAATTGTATATCATAGATGATCTAGAGGCATACTGCTTGCATTACTTGGAATCTTCGGAAGATGTGGACGGCCCAGCAGCTTTGCAGATACTCAACGAGTCCTTGCAACTTTCCATGGATTTGCCAGAAAACATACAATGTAAATGTTGGAGCACAGTTTTGACAGAGAGCCTCAAGATTGTGCAGTCGCCATTCTTTCTTGAAACTCATGGTTCCATCATAGCCATTTTGATCAAATTGGACGAATTCTACGTCTGTGAAGAGACACTTTGGGAGCGCTTGGTGGAGTGGTCTGCAGCAGCTGTTCAGAAACCGGACTTGTTGGGTCCGTTTGATACCACACCACCCGAAGATGGAGTAGATCGGAAGGTTGCGATTTTGCGATTGATATCCCCGCACATCCGCTTCACCCAAATGAGCAAGGATTTCTTCGTTGACCGGGTGAGAAAGTATTTGAATCGCGAAGAAAGTGACGCTATCACTGACTACTTCCTCCTGGGCCGCCAGGCGGATGGATTGTTGATCAACCAGCGCGTTGGTCTAGATCCAAAAATCGAACCCATGACCTGGAACTGGCATGAAATCCCCATACCCTGGGGTGGTGATTTACCCGAGAATCCCAGGAAGGTCACCTTTGAGAAAGCAGCATGGGTCACCAAGGTGGAGCTGATCTTTGGTAGCTGGGACGATGTGGATGAGCCACCAACATGGTACGTTTCTGCGGCAGGGCATACCTTTCAGGAGAGAACATGCGAATTGGAGAATGATAAGATCAAGAGCGTCATAGATATCAGTCTTCAAGACCCATGCGATGAATTGATCATCGAACTTAGTGGAATGGTTGGCAATGATCCACCGGAAACAGTAAGAATCCACGACTACGACTTCATAGAAGTGAGGAGAGCACAGCTGGAAATGGCCACCGAGCTGGCAAAGCGATTGTCAACAGATTTCTGTCTGACACCCAGCTCGGCCACAGACTGGCGAAGACTCCAATGACAGAAACGTTGACGTCGTGGTGTTGTGTTTCCGTTTGTGGTTGGAGTTTGGCAAAGGCGGCAATGGTCCATGTAAGACATGTTTACGATTTATATAACCCCTAAGCCCTAAGCGGCCTGGGAAAAGATGTGACTGAGTGCTGAATTTCAAGCATGCCAAATGTTGGGAGTTTTGCCCTGTAGCGGAACTGTATAACCCACATGTCATCCTTATCCGCATGTTTTCTGATTCGAATAGGCCACGCATTTTCCAATCGCATCCAAAAACGCATCCGGAGCCATATCTGGGTGGCAGCTGGGAATCCCATCAACAATGGATATATCTACCACAAAGATCCACAGTGGGCCTAGTGAACCTACTTAGAACCCAGCTTAACCCAGCACCAACATCAGTGACATCTGAATTACATCATCATCATCATCATCATCATCATCATCATCATCATCATCATCATCATCAATCATCATAAACATACATAATCATAAACACACACACACATATATATATATATATCATCATAAACAAATATTTTTCATATAATCATATACAATCACATGTAATCAGAATATAATCATCATTTTCAGTGCTTCAAAACCACCATATTTCGGTTGACCAAAATGCCGTCGCTGGGGCAGGTGGATTTGCCGGTCCATATCTCGGACCTTTGGTCCTCGCTGGACACCGATGGCGATGGACGTGTGCGGATGGAGGAGACCTCCGGAGGAAAATCTGCGGAGTTTTCTGGAAAATGAGCAGAAAAAACTCATAGGTAAATCAACTCATGTCGAAAACCATAGGAAAACCATAGGAAAATGGGAACACCATAGGAAAACCATAGGAAAATGGGAACATCATAGGAAAACCATACGAAAATGGAGGTTTACCCTCCGGTAAACATACAAACAACTATGGAAGATTCCAAGGAAAACTCATACAGGATGGGGCCCTCCAGTTATGTTTGTGGGTTGATAACCCCATCCAAATATAGTTATTTGCGTATCATACACTATGGTTATCATAGTCATAAACCAACTTGGCTAACGAACTTTTTTCCCCATCCTGTAGGTAAATCAACTAATGTGGGTAAAACAATGCCATAATGAACCATCAGTCATCACCATTTTTATAGGTGGTATGTTTACCATTCCCAGGAAAATGGGTGGTAAAAATGGCATTGTTTTACTCACCTGATGTCTAAAAAAGGCCAATCAACTACAAATGGTCATTTCAGCAATAAGCTATGTAACATAAATTGCCAGTGACTTAGTGAATGTCCCAGGTGCAATCTGATTGGTGGTTTGGAACATGGCTTTTATGACTTTCCATATATTGGGAATGTCATCATCCCAACTGACGAACTCCATCATTTTTCAGAGGGGTAGGTCAACCACCAACCAGATTATCATTAACCATCATTAACCATAAAATAACCATATAATATTAACCATATATTAACAGTATATTACCAACCAATGGTAGGTTGAAACCACCTAGCCTATTGTGAAACATTTATTGTATTCTCTTCCCCCTGAATCTATACATCTCAATCATCTCATACGTTTCGCCCCCGGTTCACGTTGTGGATCTATGAGGGTTGATGACCTGGCTGTCCCGAAACTGGTGGCCATATTTACTGTCCTGGCGCCAGTATCCACAGGGATCAATTTACTGTCATGCTTATTGCTGTTTATTGATGTTTATTGATGTTTTTCCGGAATGTTTGATTGAAGATATTGAAGCCCCAAGTTATGTTGGTCATATGCCAATTTTACCACAGTTTCAGTGCATAGTCATACCCCGCACAACACCATCCTGATTGTATGACGTGTGGCCATGTTGGTTTCTTAAATCCACTCCCTTTCTGTTGGTCAAATCCAGTCAAATCCTTATCTTTCACAAGATTGACTTGAATGGACTACCCTCTGGTAATTTGTTACATAGCTGTTGAAAATGACAATTTATAGTGGATTTACCCATTGAAAATGGTGATTTTCCATAGTTATGTTAGTGTACCAGAGGGTAGTTGCTTTGTGTCGAATCCTTTCTGTTCATTGAGTTAAATGGTTCACTCCTGATTCGCAGTAGCGTAGTCTAAGAACATGTCTAAAATCAGACAATTGCCTAGTCGCACCTGTCTTACAACACAATTTGTTCTAGTTATACCACACATATCACCCTTCAAATCCACAAGTTTGTGACATTCCGACATTTTCTTGGAGCCCCGCTGGCAGGAACTATGCTCGCGACGGGCAGAATCATTAGCCAAGTTCAAGGCACGCAGTGATCGCCACGGGCCCAAGTTATCATCCATATGTTGTTGCATAATTTCTGGGGAAAGCAATCAATGGCCACTTCAGGAACCTAAATTGGAGGTACCTACCATCTATAAGGCCTATTGTTCAGGCCTATGTAAGGGAAAATCCCCACAAAATATGGCCTTATATGGTACAGTACAACCATTTTAGGATCCTGGAATTCCCATTGAAGCAGTGGTTTTCTTATGGCATTCCCATTTTAGGAAACGCATAAAAGGTTGTTACAGCATGGAATGTGTTACAGTATAGTTACTAATAGTTATGGTTACTAATGTCCAATGTATATTTCTATAGCCATTGAATGGAATAGTTATTATAGGTATCATATTGTCATTATCAGTATTAAAACCGTTAACATTATCACTATACTATTTATAGTTCGGGTGTATATTATTGGTCATAATGGGGAACTGACACCGGCTTGCCATTCAAAAAAGATGGGGAGACTAAAAATATATACGATTTGTGGTGATATGATAGATTGATTTAAAAAGCAATATATATATATATATGTATATGTGGTATAACTGTAGTACTATACTATATGGTGATGCTAAGCAGCTATAATGTTCCCATTATTATGGTTACCATTACCCCATGTGATTGGTAGTACAATGTTGTTATCATAGTTGTTGCCATGCATTAATACTATAGAGTAAAGTACTCAACTATGATGTAACTAGAACAATATATATATATATATATATATAATATTGCTAGTACTTTATATTACTAATACATTTCGAACTATATTACATTCCTTAATAGTAATCTTATTGTATTTCACTATTGCCAATTCATATCCCAAATGTTCCTATAGCATAGAATCTGAACACAAAACGACTAGTATTCCTGTCATTAACTACTATATTGCTCCTATATTTCTATATTCCTAATATCATTCTATTGCGCGTCCTTTGCCAACTATATCGTTATAATATATTCCATTGGTATTGTTATTATGCTTACCAACTATCATTACGATAACAACTAAACCACTGAGAAAAAATGACAATTAGTCGCCAAGTATTTGCCAATTATTGGATGATTATAACATGACCTCTAATTCACCAATTAATCCAACTATATCCCCGTGAATCAACATTAATCAGTATTGAGCATAGCTAACTAAGTCCCATTCACATCAAGTTATTGATACAGTACTGTAGATGACGATTGCCATAATGTTTGACAATTGATAAAATGCTACCATACTATCACTGACAACTCATTGATATGTTACTAATGGGAATTAATATTCATGGGAATTAGTGGGGATTAACCCTAGTCACTACTACTATATAATACTATATATATAATATTAATCAAGGTACTGCTCCCTGATATATGATTTTATTACTTTCAATACTATTATTATCCCATTAATATATCATCACTATTCAAGACTAATTTTGTATTGATATACTACTATAACTAATATACTTATTAGTTACTTAATTCCCAATAAATTCCAATTATATTTATAATTATAACTAATTGGTCCAATAACTAATTAGCAATTAGCATTACAATTGGTATGAGTATGATACCATAATTGGTCCAGTTCATGATTACCATGATTAGTATTGATTATATCAGTTGATCATCAGTATCAGAATCAGTTGATTAATACTTTTGGGATAACAACTCATTGATATAGTATATAGCTTAATAATAAACTATTAACTGATCAACAATAGTATTCCTAAAATACCTTAATATACATGAATAGCCATAATAGTACTACAACTACTTGAATTGTATCATCATTGTGAACTAGCCATATAGTAATACTATAGTTCTAGCTTTAGCGCCATAGTTATGATAATAATACTATGACTATAACCTACTAGAAACCATTACTATAATAGGTATCATAATAGTACTATTATTACTATTACTATAACAAATTTAAAATAATAGCACTATAAATATTATCTCTTCTACAATAATAGTAATAGTAATAATAATAGTTCTATTTATACTTAATGAAAATAATTATGGCATTATTATTGCTATAACTGGTTGGTGGTTTGGAACAGTTTTTATTTTTCCATATATTGGGAAGAATCATCCCAACTGACGAACTCATAGTTTTCAGAGGGGTAGGTCAACCACAAAACAGATAATTATATATATATGAAGGTTTGCTGAAATAGGGGTACCCCCAAATCATCCATTTTAATGTTATTTTCCACTATAAACCATCCATTCTGGGGATCCACCATTTAAATTCATGGAAACCCCATATCATTATATATAAACCAAATATATCCTCATTATTATCCCCATATTTTATATCCCTATTTATGGAAACCCTAGAACTAGTTGTCCCTTCTGCCAGGCCTGGACTCTGCGACGCTTCGGCCGCGCCGTAGGGCTCTGGGACTCCCAAGAAGCGCTCCGCGCGCGCGCGCGGCGCCGGGCGCAGGGCTCTTGGGTCTCGGAGTCGAAGATGCAGCACGGCAGCGGACATGGGGCAGAAAACGGGGGGGATTACATAGGTTTATGGGGGATATACGTGTATGCTCTGGTAAATTAACAGTTGGACCCTGAAAATCACATTTTTTTGGTGGAAACTAATCTTTCAACCCCTATCTGGCAGGGTCTATGTTAATTCATGCCCTGAAATTCCAAAGTCTTATATTGAATAGGTCCGTGACCAAAGACCCAAACTTAAATGCAAAACAAAAGACCTGAATAAGGACCAAGGATATAATATATAATATATAGGCTTAAAACACCTTCAAACTGTATGTTTTTGAATTCTTGTGTCATATGGGGGATATGAGTGTATGCTATTTATATACGCATATGTATATATATATATTCATACGTATGCATATACTTAAAACATGCATATCTATACTGTAACTATATAATGTTTTTTTTTTTTTAAATAAACCAACTTAAAACTTTCGTGGAGAGCTCACGATAGAACAATCAAAGATCCCATCAACAATAGAGGTTTGAGTGACTTAAGTACGGAACGTATTCTTGGATCGATGATTTTCTTTTACATAGAACATGAATAATTATTGCCTTCTGGTTTATGGGGGTCTAGGTATAAGTAATTCGGTTTCGAAACCAACTTACAACTTTCATGGGGAGGACCCTCTGGCAATCAACGTGGCTGGCTGGAAAATAGATGTTCATAGTTTGGAAAGTCATCGAACTAAATGGGAAAATAATCGAATAAATGGTGGATGTTCATTTGCCACGTTTGATTTACCGGAAGGAACATTAATGGGAATATAATTTCATATCATGAGAATGGGAATTCTTGGGGAATATAACCGTAGGGACGTAATTATTGGGATCCACTATTGGATATTAATAGGAATGCAGGGTGAGGCCCCCCGAGTTGTAAGTTGGTTATATCCGCCATAACTGGTTGGTGGTTTGGAACATTTTACATTTTTTCATATATTGGAAAGAATAATCACAACTGACTTTCATATTTTTCAGAGGGGTTGAAACCACCAACCAGATAAACATTCGTAAACTCTAGTTAGTCAAGTTGCAAATCAACTTAGCTATTTAGAAATATTTAGAAGGCCTCACCTCGTAACCATCAACGATCCCATAAACATGAGAACAATAGGGACTTGATTGACAAACGAGAATGAGAACAGGAGGGATGTCAGCAAATCATGGGGTATCATGGTGGATCATCATGGGAATACCATGGAAGATGATGGCGATTTCCGAAATTGGGTATATTGAAGAGATAATTCCATTCCCCCTGATAGGGACAATCATGATTCCATCCTGAAAAGTATGGTTTTAAGATGTTCAATAATGGATATTTAAATGATTTACCCTCTGGTAATTTAACATAGCTATAGAAAATGGCCATTTATAGTGAATTTTCCCATTAATCATGGTGATTTTCCATAGTTATGTTAGTTTACCAGAGGGTAACCATTGAACATGGTTTGGCCTGGTTTAATTATCCTGAATGGTGAGGATTGCGGAATTTCACCAAGAAAAGTTACCAAGAGAAACATTATATTGTAACCAAATATGGGTTGCAGGGGGTGCTCAGTGGACAGTTGCGGACGGGTGTAGAGGAACACTAGGCCAATTATTGGTGACTAGTTATCTTTATACATATATAATCATATATATATATTTATATATATATATATATTTATTATATATATATATCAATCACGAAAGCTAGCTTCTGCCAGCTGGGGCCCCTCTTGCTTTAGAAAGGTATTGGGGGTCTTATCAGTTAACTCACCCCCCTCCCGGTTGACAAGCAGTTTGGCTGTGGGCTCAATCCCCCCTGGGCACACCGTCAGCAACATCGGCAGCATCGGCATCCTCTGCATGATTTGCATTGTCAATAGGGCATGCCTCATTTCTCTTCAATTCATTGATGCAGCGGCGCTCATGATTGGCATGTTCATTCATGGGTAGCCTTCATCTTGACCTAGCTTCATTTTCATGTTGCGCACGCGCGCCTACCTCTCATCCTCAACTTCGGTTTTGCACTGCGTTACTTCTTCCTGCGCTTCCAAAGGTCCACTCTGATGCCCAAGGTGGACCTTTGAATCTTTCCCAATCACTGGTCATCATGTTGCAACAGTACGCATAATCATATGTTCTCATCCTCGTCCCCTCCAACATACATCGCCTCAATCCATAGGTCGGGATGTTCACCTTACCGGCGTGCCCCAGCTTCAGACCCGCTCGTCCACATTGACGAAAAAGCCGCGCAGCTGCGCTGTGCCCTTTGTGTTTTCATGCCAAGCTTCCTGCCAAGCTAGCTTTCGTCCCCTACTCCTGGGCCTCAAGTATATGTGTATATATATATATATATATTTACATACATGCATACATACATACATAATTACATACATAATTACATACATAATTACATACATACATACATACATACATACATACATACATACATACATACACATATATATATACATATATCTTTGCCGTCATATACCCGTTTTGTCCCCATGTTACTTGGTTCTATCCCCAGGACATCCCCAAATTTCATCGTTTAAGACCTAGTTATGATCTAATCTTCCAGTATTTCCCACAAAACGGCACTGTTTTCCCATATCTTTCGTGTCTTTTCCCATGTTTTTTTGCTAACCAATCGTGTTGGCCACTCAGCTAAGGTTGGCCACGTCCTTCGGCGAGGCGCGGCGCTAGCTTTGGACGAATGATTCTGGTATGGCAAGGGAACGTTGAAAAACATATTGGTTTATATGTATATACATATATACATGTATATTACCATTGGGATGTATATACGTATTCGTACATATTGGAATATTGCAAAAAGGGATGCCCATTGGATATTAGTGGCGATATATACTTGATGATTATACTGGCTACATGATTGTATTTTCTGTTTATTTTGGGGTATCAATGGGATCTGCTGGATATTAATAGCTGTAAAAAGAAATATATAACCAACTATAATAATGACTAATGGCTGTATAGTGGGAATGCGGAATGGGACTTCTTACGGAATTTAACCATGGGAACATAATGGGAACATGTTACCAGTTTGATAATACATGTTCGTTAGGGAATTCTCATGACAATGGAAGATTACAGTGAGATATCCAACTACAATTGGGTACCAGCTGGATATTTAGTATATATCTATATGCACACATCATTAACCATTTTAGTCTCACACTATTGGTACTTAAAAGTAGCGAATCATTACAATGCTCACTAACCACTAATATTAACATTTGCTTTACCATAAATTTTGCTAAATAAAGATATGTTACCCTCTGGTAAACTAACATAGCTGTTGAAAATCACAATTTTTAGTGGGTAAATCCACTATTTCAATGGCAATTTTCAATAGCAAACTGTTAGTTTACCAGAGGGTATACAGTGATAACCCACTATAGTGCTAGCAAAAATAAACCATCCCCACGGTTTCCCTCCAAATATAGTTCTTTCTATGCTTGGATGTCCAACTATAATAGGTTATAATTGGGTATTAATGGCTATAAAATATGATATATAACCAACTAGAATACGAGACATAAAACCAAAAAAGATGGGGGAATGTAATAAATGTCGTGAACCCAATACTATCCCCAGTAGAGGTTTATGAAATTTGGTATGCCCCTATTTAGTATCGTAGACACGAACAATCTTTTATGTTTGGTGAATGGGGTTTCTCACAGTAATAGCTAAAACGCAAGACGGGCATGTGTTGATTATACATATATATATGTACATATTATTACTAAATATCATGATGATAACAATGATTCGCAGGTAAATTATAACGTATTTTGTTCCGTTACATTTGCATTCATATTTACTGGTTACTGTCCACTAATTCTTCGTCGATTTTCCCAATTTGACCTCACCAAATGGCGTGTGGGAAATGTTGGAGTTGTCCCAGATGAATGTTTCCATACCTAGTATTTATTGGCTATAATTATATACATATATATATATATAGATGTCATTGGCCTAGCTACCGGTTATATACAGGTGTCTGTGATTTACGATGTTATCATGACGATTATTGACCTGACGTGATGTTCAAGGCACTTTGCCAGCAGTGAGATAGTAGTGAGATGTGATTCATGCTAAATTTTCGGAAGCACAGTGAGTACGGACACGTGTGACACGAGCGGCAGTTTGCACATCAGGAACAAGCACTGCTTCCAAAACCATGCCATAGCAGGGCTGCCACATGCCACCTTTTCTTCGCCACAACACCGCAGGTGAAACACAGAACTCAGCCTATGTTGGTTGAATTGCAAAGATGGATCAGGTATGGGATTGGTTTCACAAGGGCTTGTTACAAGAGGTAAGGCAAGTCACGGACAATTTGCAAAGCATACCTTGGGAACTGAGGAGGTATGGGTATCCATATCAAACAATCTCACGCCTAAGTGCTCTATTTTTGTTGCACTACTTGACGTGGAGATTCCAAGCAGAACCAGTTTGATTTCTCCATTGACGTGGCAGGTGATTGTTACGAGGCTGATGTCAACCTAGGCAAGGTTAACGTCTGCCCCGTGGCTTTGACATGCCACGTTGTTGAGACAAGTGACCGACATCCCGAGATTTTGAGACCCTGGGCTCTGGTATGTTGCAGTGCCACCTGCACCCTACGGCCCTACGGTAGCTTTAGAGGACGCTGAAACTTTCCAAGGTGGAACGGCAGAAGCAGGTTCTGCAAAAATTTGCACAGTCTCCGGATATGTCTCCGGATATGGTTTTTGAAACCACTGCAAGTATGAAGCCGTCACCCGCATCGAAGCTTCTGTCAGTACCATTTTTTGGTATGATTACTGTCAATTGGAGGAGCAGCCAAGAATCAAACAGTCTCATGCCATGATCAGCAGGCATACGTGGATAAGTGCTCTATCTTTGTTGGAGGGTTCAAGTAGAACCAGTTTGATTTTTCCATATTTCTCCATTGACGTGGCAAGTGGCTGTTACGAGGATGATGTCAACCTAGGCAGGTTAACGTCTGCCCTGTAGCTTTGACATGCCACGTTGTCGAGAGAAGCGTTCAACATCTCACGATCCATTCTGGATTGGCGACATTTTGAGACTCCATGGTGATCACACTATGCCACTATGCGCTGCCTTCCGCACTCTCCCTATGGACAGGAACCGGCCGAGATGAATTTTCATGAATTTCCATGCTTGGTGGTTATTAGATGCCCATGTAGACTGGTTGTGCAACAGTTTGCATGTGGCATTCCAAAGTCACTGGGGTCTCCTACTGAAAACCCTCAATTTTTCCCTCATGCGAGGACATGCGAGGACTACCTGACTACCTAGGTTGATTCACATGAGTCTCCCTAGATTTAAGTATATAATCATCAACCATGATCAACCATGTACAACCATCATCAACCATCCATAAATCCCTTTTTCCAGGCCAAATCTATTTAAGTTAACTGGACCACGGGAGAACACGCGATTCCTTGACTTTGCCTGACTTTGACAGAAGCAGGGTTGAAACCATCTCCAAATTCGAGGAAGGATATGGCGGCATTGGGTAAATATATGTAAATATTTTACCAATTGGTTTGAAGAACTTGTGGAAGACCCCTTTCTTCTATGCAAAAAAAACCTCTGGTGAAGGAAATGGGGATCACCATGGCAAACAGCGGTGTGGGATTGTTTCACTCGGCCCATGGAGAGAAATCCGCAGCCTGAGGTGGCGCTGGTGAAACCCCTGTCATGGGGACACATTCACAGTAGGCGTTTTTCAGGCAGCCAACAGTTGGTTTCAACATTAAAATCAGAGTATGACATAGGTTACATCGCCATACATGGGTTGGTTTGAACATATATAAACCACAGTATAAGTATAACCTTAAAATCCAGTGGTCAATAGTTGTGTTCCCTATTTCCATGCCCCATCCGGGGTGAAATCGACAGTAAGCTAAATCGACAGAAAGTCATAATCATCGAACTATAGAAATGGGCCAGCAAAACCACATCAAAAAGTTGGTTTTACCGAATTTTATTCAGGTTCCGTCACTACCCGACCCCATTACTATTGTCGTTAATCGCCAATTCCCATCAATATCATATAATATCCATGGTTGATTGTTCAATCACAAGTTTAAACTCAGTTCCTACCCATATGGATCCAAACACTGTCGAAGGTACAAGACACCCCCTAGATCATACCCCAGTCGTACTTCCTAAGAAGGTATGGCTGGATCCATAGGGTACTTTAATGGGTATTTCAGGATCCTAAAATGGAGGTACCTACCATATATAAGGCCTATTTTTTAGGCCTATGTAAGGTGATATGCCTAGAAAATATGGCCTCAAAAATGGTACTAACGTACCTCCATTTTAGGATCCTGAAATACCCATTGAATATACCCTCTGGTAAACTAACATAACTATGGAAAATCAACATTTTTCATAGGTAATTCAATTATAAATGGGCAATTTCCCATGGCAATTATTATTGTTAATACCCATTTACCATATGGTTTGTTAATGGTAAATAGCCAATCTATTATCTTCCCATGGATATTATTATTGTTAATGGGCAATTTCCCATTGATATAATCTGGTTTGACTGGTCAATAATTGATGGTTGATGATGGTTGATGATGGTTGGTGATACTGTGGATGGAAGAAATCCTGCACCACCTTAGATGGTTGAAAGCCTGTAAATAATGGGATAAACCCTCTATCAACTGGTGCAGGATTTCTTCCATCCACAGGGTACTTTAATCACTGCCATGTTGCCTGGTTGCCCGAACGGGTGCTACCCGGTTCAGGCCCTGAAAGAGCTGGGTTGGCCCGGTGCCTATGATCCGGAGGCGCGAGAAACAATGGGGGGGTTGGTACCTGACAATTTTAAGGGGAAACCTACGGAAAATCATGGAAAACAATGGAAAATCATAGAAAATCATGGAAACCCATGGAAAATCATGGAAAAGAATGGAAAATCATGGAAACCTATGGAAAATCATGGAAAACCATGGAAAATCATGGAAACTCATGGAAACCTATGGAAAATCATGGAAAACAATGGAAAATCATGGAAAATCATGGAAACCTATGGAAAATCATGGAAAACCATGGAAAATCATGGAAAATCATGGAAACCTATGGAAAATCATGGAAAACCATGGAAAATCATGGAAACCCATGGAAAAATCATGGGGGAAAAAGGATCTGATGGTTTAGAAAATCATGAGCCCCCCTCCAAAAGCAAAGAAACACATTGATATTTTGGTGGCGTGCCCCCATTTTCACACAGTTAATTTTTGCACGGTTTTACTTTTTTTGTTTTGTTTTTGAACCATCCACATACAGGACTCTAGTGCTGCAGATTTTCACTTCACTTCTGGGGATCAAGAATGACTTCATACCATCAAAACAGGGATTTCAAAAAGCCAAAGAAGACGTCGAATCTTATGCACAAACTTGACATAGCTATATAGCGACGTCACTATACATAGGCATGATTAAGTAACATAGGAAATCTTGACATTGACACTTTCTTTGGGGTATGAGGCAGGAAGCTTGGGGGTATCTGCCAATACGAGGTAGATGTTTTGACAATGGAGATGAGGGGTGTTTACGACAATTTTTTCACAATTTTGCGGATATTATGCAAGCATCACCAGAAATGGTCGAATGAAGCACACCCAACACAGGCTGCGCTAGGAACGCAAGCCTTGATCCATCCCAAATTCCAGCCCAATTCCGATTGTTTGGCCGTTACGGTCACCACTATATCACCAGGACATTCGATGCCCCATGAATTTGACGGTGCCGCATCATGTTTCACCTCAAGACTGGAATGTTGTTACTGAAATCATCATATTTCGGAGGTTTTTTTTTTACCAAAAGAAATCCCATATCAATAGGATTTCTCAAGTGGTTTTCACCACATCCCATGTCATAGTCAGCCATTTTTGGTGGATTGTTGGGTGGTCCTACCATATCAAATCTACAGAAAATCGCCAATCCCATATCAAAATATGGTACAGTCAGCCATGCTTTTGTTTTTTTTGGACGATTCCCACGTCAAATCTCACAAAAAATCCGCCAAATCTCCCGAACATCTCCAGCCAATAGGATTTCTAGACTATGACCATTATATACCATTATTATTATTATTATTATCATTATTATTAGAAGTGTAGTGTTATATATATATATATATTTGTATACAGTGCACCCCCTGGTAAATTAACATAGACCCTGAAAATGACCAATTTATAGTGGAAACTAGTCTTCCAACCCCAAACACCCCAGGGTCTATGTTAATTTACTGGAGTGTATATATGGGATGATCCTTTCTATTTAGTATTATTGTTATTATTATTCTTAGAAGTGTAGTATTATATATATATATACAGTGTATATACTGGTTCTATAATAAAGACATACATATCTTCCCGTTTTTTTTGGTGGTTCCACTGAATCCCAGGAGAGATTGTATGTCTTCACGTCCTTGGACTCCATGGGATGCAACTTGATCACCATCCAAGACCTGGAGTGGCTGGACAGGTGCGGCACCGGTGTAACGGTGCAAGGCTGCGAGGCCTGGAGCTGGGTTTAATGAACTAAGGGAGATGCATAGTGTATAAATATGTATCAATATGTATAAATATTGTATAAATGTATCACAATGTACCTGCATATGATGCATATGTCTTTTTGAAGATATTTATGGGATACATGCCACGTTTGCCTTTTTTCCTTGGTTCTGACAAGGCCAAAATTACAGGAGCTATGGCTGTATCGATATTCCCCATTTGGCATGGGGGCCAAAAGGGGGCTACGACGCTAGGTGAGTTATTGGGTCGACCCACTGGATAGTTAAGAAGACCAGCTGTTGGTGGCTGGTGGTTCATTAATGTTATATAGCCCCGAAAGCCATACTACCCTCTGGTAAACTAACATAGCTATTGAAAATGGCCATTTATAGTGGATTTTCCCATTAAAAATTGTGATTTTCCATAGTTATGTTAAATTACCAGAGGGTATTCCACATGTTTCTGCTCTATGCATGGTTTATGAAGCATCTAACAATACACCATGGTTACGGGGATCACCTTTGTGGTTGAAGCCCCATGAAGTGATCTCACCTGGCATGTCTTTTGTGATCCCTTGCCGCTAATATTGAGTACTCCGCAAACGAAACCCCTGGTTTAGTAAGTCTAGTAAATTGGATCCATTATTATTCCCAAGTATTATATTAGTAATAGATCACATTTACTAGTGTTATCTAAATCTAGTCGCCTCTAGTAAATTCGGGTCCCAAGTATTATATAGAGGCAACTTTGACTATCTATTCCCATGGGATGATGGGATCATGATTTCTCCATACTTCTCCACCGGAAAGGGATTATCGAAGGATGTTTAGAAGTCAAACTTCCAACAATATGGACAGATGAAAAGCAGAGGTGGGAAGAGTCAGAGAAGAGAAGAAAAGGAGAAAGAAGATCAGGGAAGAGAAAGAGCCAGAAGACAGAAGATGCAGGTGCGCGAAAAGGTAGCAAAGTCGCGAAACACTGTGTTTTTCCAATGACTTCCGGAGGGTCGAAAAGTAAGCTCATGTAGGCTCGCTAAAGCGGCGGGCACGGAGCCATGTGGTCAGATGAGAGATGAAAAGTTACACGCCGTTGTGGCGCGAAGCACATTTCCAAGTCAACATGCACAAAACTTGTGGAAGTTGTGATGTCGAAAAGGTGCACGCCGTTGTGGCTCGAAGCACATTTCCAAGTCAAAATGTGCAAAGCACGTCAGCCTTGAGATGTTCAAAAAGTGTACGCCGTTGTGGCGCGAAGCACATTTCCAAGTCAAAATGTTAAAACACTACATGCTCGGACCACTTTTGAAGTTTCAGATGTGGTTTTGCGTGGCAGGCGCAAGGGATTCTGCACCTTGCCAAAAGTGACCAAAACGTGAGGGTTTTGTAGCATTTCCAAAAACGATGGCAGGTGTGGGATTTCGCGTGGCAGGCGCAGTACAAGAGACATGTTCATCAGAGATGTTAGGAGGTCAGGGCGCTGATTTCCTGAGAAGGGTTGCATTTTGGAGCGTCAGATCTTCAGTTTTGGGAAGATGATTTTGCGTGACAGGTGCAGCACTTCGTATGACCTGGCATCAATTTTTCGTGGCAGGCGCAATACTTTAGAGACGTAGATGCGAAAAATCGCAAAACGCATTGGTACGAGGCCATCAGCTCTGCACTCAACTTTCCATGTTCGAAGGAAGTCTCGCAGACTTGCTTCGTTTTTGCTGTTGTCAACTCCGAAAATTGAGGAAGTCTCGCAGAATTGCTTCGTTTTTGACGTTGTCAAGTAAAGAGATTGAGGAAGTCTCGCAGAACTGCTGCGTTTTTGATGATGTAAAGTTCAAAAAGTGAGGAAGTCTCGCAGAATAGCTTCATTTGCAAGCTTGCAGATAGACAGATAGATAGATGGACAACTACAACTACACTACACCCAATATACACTACTGCTACAGCTACAAATGCAAATATACTACGCTACATTACAATACACTAATTACACAACACTACACTAATTACATCCAATTACACCAGACCACACTACACTAATTACACTCACACCACGACCACAACCACAACCACCACCACAACCACAACCACAACCACCACCACAACAACAACTACCACTAACTACTGCTACCACTAACTACTTCTACTATTATTACTGCTGCAACTGCTACTACTACTACTGCTATACTACTGCTACTACCACTACTACTGCTACTACCACTACTACTGCTACTACCACTACTACCACTACTACCACTACTACCACTACTGCCACTACTACCACTACTACCACTACTACCACTACTACCACTACTACCACTACTACCACTACTACCACTACTACCACTACTACCACTACTACCACTACTACCACTACTGCCACTACTACCACTACTACCACTACTACCACTACTACCACTACTACCACTACTACCACTACTCTTACTCCTACTACTACTACTTCTACTACTACTACTACTACTACTACAATTATTACCACCACTACTACCACTACTCCTACTTGTCCTACTCCTACTCCTGGTCCTACTCTTACTCTTACAACAACAACGACAACGACAACGACAACAACAACAACAACAACTACTACTACTAGTATTACTACTTCTACTTCTACTTCTACTACTTCTACTACTTGTACTACTTCTACTACTATTTCTTCTACTACTACTACTACTCCTCCTCCGCCTGCTGCTGCTGCTGCTGCTGCTGCTGCTGCCATTGCTACCACCACCACAGCTAAAACTACAATTACAACTGCACTGCAACACACTAGACTACACTAATTACATTGCAGCACGCTACAACTACAAATGCAGCTACAACTACGCTAAATTACGCAAAACTACGCTACACTAATTGCATTACATCACAATACAACTGCAACTGCAACTGCAACTACCACTACATTGCACTACACTACACTACGATAATTACACTACACTACAACTACAACTACACTACTTTACACTACGCTAGACAACACTACACTATACCACAGTACAGTACGCAACACTACAGTACAGTACACTACACTACACTAATTACACCACACCAGAACTACAACTGCAACTACACTACACTAATAATTACACAACAGTACAACTACAACTCCACTACACTAACTGCACTACACCACACTACATCCAGCAGTTGTGGTGAGGTGGCCGCTGCAACCATTGCAACCACTCCAAAAACACAGCTCCAACCACCTTTCGGTCCATCAGTGGATTCGCTCTGCCACCGGTGATTCACAACAACCAACCTCTCCTATAGGTTTCCTATTTTTGAAACTTCCGCCACCGCCTTGTGCGGCACTACTGGTATTTGCAATATCTATCGTTTTAGGACATCCCCATCCTATATTCCATCGCATTCCCATCATAACCCCAGTATATTCCCAGTGTATTCCGCGTCATGTCATAGCTTTCTTTATCTTGAATGGTTTGATCTCGGTTTTGAGCCTCTAACTACCCCTTTTGGTACAGTAACCCGTAAAATGATCCCCGAAAAGCGGAAATCAAGGGGAAAATATCATCGAACTGCCATCCTGGAAACTCTTTTTTTCTATGATTTCGGGGTTGCTATATTGGAAAGGATGATGATCGTCAATGTTAACAGGTATGAAGTATTGCTGGACACCCACCCCATTTAATAGCCATCATTTTCTCTACAATGGGTGGGCAAAGGTTCATAGGTACCCTCCTGTAAACTAACAGTTCGATGTGGACAAGTTACCATGTGTACTACACACTTCCCAGGGTTTTCCCATGGGTTTTCCACATCTTTTCGTATGTTTACCCTAAGGTAACACATTTCGGGAGGATGACTTCCCCCCGGCAGGTGGCAGCCCTCCGAGTTTCTCGCCGCGGATCCTAACCCCGAATCCTGGGTGGAACTAAAGGACGGCCATGGGGGATTGACCCTCCGGTGTCATGAAACATCGCGGTTGAACATCTCTAGAAATTGAGGTTTTTCCCACCGGTGAGGTGAGAGTCTCTAGATTCTATCAGAGTTACTTTCTCCTTCTCCTCCTCGTCTTCCTCGTCCTTCCTCAACCTCCACCGCGGGCTCCAGATCTCAGTGGCGAGCGCCAGATCTCAGTGGGCAGTGGTTGAGGTCCGGCAGTGCCCATGCCAGAGAGAATGCCAGCCAGATAGAATGGTAGAATAGAAAGTCAGAATAGATGCCAGATAGAATGCCTGAAAAGAATGGCAGACATATAGAATGCCAGAGAGAATGCCAGAATAGATGCCAGAAAGAATGTCAGAAAAGATGCCGGATAGAATGCCGGAAAGAATGCCAGAGAAATGTCAGAATATCCTTACCCCCGTAAAGTAAAAATTGAGGGGACGTACCGTCATTTTTTTTGGCAAATAAAAAAGCACAGTTGATGTAAAGCCAGCGTTTTTCGGGTTTCTGGATGTTGCTGGCCATCGTCCCCGAGCCATTTGGCTCACAATGACCTGCTGCTCTACGTTGACAGCCAAGGCCTGGTGGAACATGTTCTGGAAGAGTTGGTTTTATTATTATTGGAATCCATTAGAAGCATCAGAAGCTCCAAAGATGCCACATTATGCCACCTTCTTTGATGTTGAGTCAAGGGAGGCAGTGTTCTCATTGCGCAGTCTACGCATGTCCTGTTTTGTTCCCACGGCGGAGTGCTTTCCTGCGGAGCAGGCCAAAACTTCCAGCAGGCAAAGTGAGCTACGGTCCTGAAAAAAATTGCAGTCAGCCACGATCAGTCATGCAATATCATGCAATATCATGCATGTTTCCGAGCGCGGGAAACTGAGGATATCTGAGGATTGATTGAGTGAATGGTCTTCTTGTCAGTGTGTGCTTGTTCGTGCCGGGTAGTTTGTTGCTGTACCGGTGCAAGAGAAAAACTACCCGTTTGACAGGGCCGTCCTTAACCATGCTTTTTCCCTCATGTGTAGCACCTAGACCTAAACTTGAGTGCACTTTTTGGGCTGTTTAATCTCCAAAAAAGTATGCGAAACGACAATGAAGAT